ACAGCCCACTTAATGATGCGGCCGTTGGCCTCTTGGTTGCGGAGAATGTCCCCTAGAGGTAACTCGGTGACCACAGCGATCTTGTAATACTCGAAGTAGTGGCGGAGCTTGCGTGACATAACCAGGATGGCGTATAATAGCTTTTGGACCTGAGGATAATGAGTCTTGGGCTCGTTAAGGACCTCACTGATGAAGTATACTAGACATTGCACCTTATAGGCATGTCGGCCTCCTCGTGTTCGACCACAATGGCTATGCTGACGACGCGAGAAGTAGCGACGATGTAGATCAGGAGAGTTTCGTCTGGCCATGGTGCCGTCATGATCGAAGGCTTTGTTAGGAACAACTTGAGCTGCTCGAAAGTTGTGTCTGCCTCCTCCGACTAGGAAAAGCGCTCGGAGGCCTTGAGGAGTTTGAAGAACGGTAGTCCCTTTTCACCGAGGCGTGATATGAAGCGGCTTAAAGCAGCCATGCAACCTGTAAGCTTCTGTATGTCCTTGATGCATGTAGGCCGTTTCATGTTGGTGATGGCGGAGACCTTGTCGGGGTTGGGCTCGATGCCACGTGCGCTGACGATGTAGCCCAGGAGTATACCAGATGGAACTCCAAAGATGCACTTTGAAGGGTTCAGCTTCCATCGGTACCTTTTCACGTTGGCGAATGTTTCCTCGAGGTCGGCGATAAGATTATCGGCGGTCTTAGACTTGATGACCACCTCGTCGATGTAAGCTTCGATGTTGTAGCCGATCTGTTGATCAAGGCACATCTGGATGGCCCTTTGATAGGTCGCTCCGGTGTTCTTGAGCCCGAAGGACATGGTGGTGTAGCAGTATGCACCGAAGGGCGTGATGAATGACGTCTTGATCTGGTCTTCTTCCTTGAGGGAGATCTGGTGATAGTCGAAGTAACAGTCGATGAAGGATAGCAGTTCGCAGCCTGCGGTGGAGTCTACAACCTCATCTATCTGAGGCAGACCGAAGGGGGTTTTAGGGCAGTGTTTGTTAAGATCAGTGTAATCAATACATATTCTCCATTCTTTATTCTTTTTTTTAATGAGAACAGGGTTTGCTAACTACTTAGGATGATACACTTCTTTTATAAATCCGGTAGCTAGGAGCCATTTTATTTCTACCCTAATAGCCTCCTTCTTGTCTGGTGCGAATCGGCGGAGTTTCTGCTTGATCGGTTTGGCGGTCGGCGAGACATTCAAGGAGTGCTCGATCTTCTTCCACGGTACCCCCGGCATGTCTGTAGGTTTTCAAGCAAACACGTTAGCGTTGGCACGTAGGAAGGAGACGAGCACGCTTTCCTATTTGGGGTTGAGGTGAGCCCCAATCTTCATGGTCTTAGAAGGGTCGTCGAGGCCGAGGGCGACCTCCTTGGTTTCCTTGGACTTGGCGGAGGCGCGAGGAGGCTCCAGCGATGGGATCTCTAGGTCATCGGTGGGCACCGTCTTGGCGTCGATGACTGCATGGGCCATCTAGATGGAGAGGTCGGTGGCTTCGGCGAGGGCGAGGCTCTCTATCTCGTAGGCGTATGCGATGGAGAGATTGGCCAGTAGGGCCAGGACTCCAACAGGCGAAGGCATCTTCAGCACCAGATAAGCATAGTGCGGTACAACCATGAACTTGGTTAGAGCTAGCCGACCAAGTTTGGCGTGGTAGGCGGTGTTGAAGTCAGCGACGTAGAAGTTGATGTGCTCGACGCGGTAGTTGCTTGCCATGCCAAACTGTACTGGTAGGGTGATCTCTCCAAGCGGTTTGGATGCCCTGCCAGGTACCACACCCCAGAAGGAGGAGTCTAAGGGTGTGAGATCTGTTATCCCGAGGCCCAACTCCTTTAGGGCTCCAGCGAAGAGGAGATTCAGAGCGCTCCCACCGTCGACGAGCACTTTTCTAAAAACCACTTTCTGGATGGTTGCATCGATGACGAGGGGGAAATGCCCTGTGTAGGGGATGTTCGCCCAGTAGTTGGCCCTGTTGAAGGTGATGGGGACCTCGGACCATGGGCGATAGCTGGGGTTGGCGGCGGCGTCTTCTGTAGTGACGGCGAGCACCCACCGAGCGGCGAGCTTCCGTTCTCTTCTGCTCTCAGTGGAGGCGAGGCCCCCAAAGATGGTGGCAACCACCTTGTCGTGATCCTAGAAGGCATTGCTATTGCCCCTAGGTGGTCGGCAGCCTCCGGCTTTGTCGTTGGTGTTGTCATCTAGCTTTTTGTCTTGGAACTCCTTAGCCAAGCCGAGGCAGTCCTTCATTTTATGCTTGGCGTTCTTGTGGAGAGGGCACGGGTCGTCGAGGATCTTCTTGTACTGCTCATCGTAGTTGCGCTTAGTGTGAGGTTCATTAACGGTGGCGACGATGTGGTCTGGCCGGCGGTGGCGATTTTGATCAGACTTGGGTCCTTCTGGCCGATCACGGTCGCTATCACGATGGTAACTACGGTCGTCGTAGCGGCGGTCATTGTGGCGTCGGTCGTTGGGGCGGTTGTCATAGCGGCGTGTTGGGCGATGAGTGCCCGCATCCTCGTTGAAGAGTACCTCGGCTTCCTCGGCGTCGGCGTACTAGTTGGCGGTCGTGATCATCTCGCTGATCCCGGTGGGCGGCTTGCGGTTGAACTTGGAGCGAAGTTCGCGGTGATGGAGTCCTCGGATGAAGGCGGTGATGACCTCAGCTTCCATGATGTTGGAAATAGAATTCCACATCACGGAAAAGTGTCTGATGTAGCTATGGAGGAGCTCGGACAGCTTCTGGTTGATGCGGTTGAGATGATGCTTGGTACCCGGACGAGTACACGTAGCCATATAATTATTGATGAAGACTTTTTTTAGCTCTTCCTAGGATCTGATGGAGTCCGAGGCAAGGCTTGTGAACCAGTTCATGGTGGTTGGCGTGAGCATGACGGGAAGATAGTTCGTCATGACACTGGTGTCTCCTCCGGCGGCGCGGACAGCAGTGGCGTAAGCCTGTAGCCACTGTGTTGGGTTCATCCTTCCTTCGTAGGTCTCGACCCCAGTGATTTTAAAACCACGGGTCCACTGAAGTGTTCAGAGCGCCCTCGTGAATGCTGGGGGCCCTTCGGGGTTGTTGGCGCCGTTGTCTGCAGCATTGCCGGCGTTGAGCGGCTCGAGAGCTGAGTCCGGGTTACCGTACTCTTTCTCGTACTCCTGGCGGCGGCGTACTTCTTCTTCATGGTGGCCGAAGTGGCGTTCGTCGATACGTCGTCATGCATCTCGGAGATTGTTGAGGTGCGCTCGGACGTACTGGTCGTGTTGGCGGTGGTGTTCAATGCGGTTGCCCCTAGCTCCGCCCTGAAGGGGTTGGCTATCGTCGCGGTGCTGGTCGGTGAAGCGACTTGGTCGGCGATCGGATCTTGGCACGGCTGATCGGTGAATTGAGGTTATGGAGTATGAAGGTCTCTGATCCTGGCGGATCTCATTGACCTGACAGTGCACCGCTTTAAGCATGGCAGCGACTTTGGTGACCTCCAGTGCCTGTGGGAGCCGGGCGATCTCGTTGGCGGCCACTGCCAGATTGGCACCTGGAGTCTTATAGATGTTGTGGCCGTCAACACGGGCAAACTCGTCGTCGAAATTGCGTTGGAGTGGCCTTCCTTGCGGGTCAAGCTGCTGCTCGGCCATCGCAAGGGCGACCTCGTTTGCTCAGCGCTGTGCTCGGTTGACGTTCCGGTTCTCGCGAGCGGCGCGTTCCTCCCGGTTTCGCCGTTTCGAGGGGGGCTATCGACGCTGACGTTGAAGATTACGCTGCCACGAAAAGGAGGGAGAGGAAGTAGCTCTGTGGTGGTTTCGACAGCGGTCTCCATAGAGCCCTGGGACTCAGAGTTCGGATTCTCCTCCGGAATGGTTTGGAGGGATGCTCCGGGGCGTCGGCCGACGTGCAGCAAGTTGACGGCCGGCGGAGGCTGGTCGGCGATCTGGTCGGCGGGGGGATGGACATCTCCAACCTGGTAGGCGAATTTGCCCTTAGGGCATCTGGGTAAACGGCGGCGGCGTTGGTGAACCCGAAGGGTAGGGCCGTAACCCCTGGAGTTGCCCGAGCAGCCTCCGATAGATCTGGATCGGAGGGTGGTCGGTGCTGAACCAGAGTGTCCAGAGCCGATTCGGCGATGGAGAGGCAATCGGCGAGCTTTAGACCAACCTGATCGATGGATGCGATCATATTGTCATTGTTGATCTGCCTCCTCTGGTAGCGAGGAAGCGGGCGGCGAGTTGTCGATGAAGGCGACCTCGGAGGCGGTTCCAAGATCAGATCTGCAGTCGCAGGTGTTAGGATGACTGGTGTAGAATCGATCTGCATCGACTTGATGAGTTCTCTAACTCCATCAGCGTTGATGATCTACGAGATCGATCCGACCGTGAAGATCTGGCCGGGCTGTGGGAGGGACGAAGAGCCTGCGGAACGTACTATCTTGTTCGATATAGAAACAACACGCACACCCCTATCTGGCGCGTCAACTGTCGACAGAATATCATCGGCATTCCTCCGAGGAGTATCCCACGAAGATAGATTGATCGGCAGAGAGACGCGTAATAAAGAACAAGAAGACAACAGAGACACGCGAGTTAGACAGTTTCATGCCGTCAGTACGACGTAATACCCTACTCCTGTGGTCTGTTGGATTGTATTGGCTATCGTATGATATTACGTGAGTTTAGAGGGGGTCCCTGCCCGCCTTATATAGTCCGAGGGCAGAGTTACAAGTCGGTTAGATCTGAGAGATATCTGAAAAATAATAACATAATACAAGAATTATGGGATCATACGTATCTAACAAATCTCGTAGTATCATCGTAATATCTTTCCGGTATTTTACGGAAGACGCTGAACAGAGTCGTACCCCCATAAGTCTTTATCTTATGGGCCGAGCCGTCACTGAGGGCGCAGACCATACGATCTGTCAGTAAGTATTCGGAGTCGCACCACACGTCGCCTTGCTGGCTTGGCAGGTCCCTGCGCCTCCCGCTTGGCCGCGAGACCGCGACCATGGCGGCTTCACCCGTCCCCGTCCTCTGCAGCGCCTCCCCCTGTCGCGTCGCCATCCACCTCACCCCTCCTGCCTTCCGAACCATTGCCGCGGCGCGGCCGCAGGCCTTGCCCCTCGGCTTCTGCGTCGAGCGCGGGGGGCCCTCGCCGCGCGCCCGCGCGCCGTTTGCGGCCAAGCGCGGCGGCAGCCGCGGAAGCTGCGGACGGCACGCGCGCGCTGCTCCAGGCGGCACTCTGGGGCGCCGAAGCTGCCTATATACTCTGGCTCTTCCTCCTGCCTTACGCCCCGGTCAGTAAAGTCCGTCCCGTGAGCTCGGCACGCGAATCTCTAATTTCGTTTCAGTATGCATTTGCGTTCAGGAGTTAGGTCTTGTCATGAACAATCCAAATTATGAGCTCAAGCGCTGTCTATCTTGATGCCAACGCGTCCCGAGAGATAATTCTGGCAGAAAACAGCCTGTAACTTCGATCGCCATCGTGCAGGGTGACCCGATTTTGGCGATCTCGCAGGCTACCATCAGCGACCTCATCGGCCTCTCACTCAACTTCTTCGTCCTGCCGCTGCTCAACTCAGGTACGCTGAAATCCAGTAACTTCCTTATCAACCACTCTACCAGCCCAAACCCTATTTTTCCCAAAGTTATTGTGGGCGTGACTCTGTTGGTGAGTTTTCCTGGGCAGTGTAGTTGGCGTTCACCTGCTCGAATCGCCGGTACTTCACCCTGTAAGCAGCCGATTATTCACGTTTATTGCGAGATAGCAATGCAGTTGCACACGCATTGCATGCACTGACTAAATTATATATATTGCCTGCTTGCCCAGATGGCAGAAGGATTGTTCAACTTTGTGCTCGGTTGGACGCTGCTTTTTGCACCACTTCTTTTCAAGGAGGGACCTATTCAAGGGATCGCTCGACGTCTTGTGGGGCTTTCAGATGTTCCTCACAAATAGTATGATCTCATTGATAAAAAAAAAAACTTTGTAGCTGATGGATAGAAGATGTCTGGTTGCCTAACAACATTTCCTTGTCATCTCTTCAGCTTTCTTGATACCTTACATGGCAATCCGACTGAACGATCCAGATGCAGACCAGTCTCCACCACAAAGATCACAACTGGGTTCAGTTATGGTTAACGGTGCACCGGTTGTGGGCGCAATTGGCGGTCTTGTCTGTGTTCTCTCTATTGTTTGGGCATTCTTTGGCCGCGGAGATGCTGAATTTGGAGGCACTGCAGAACGGTGGCAGTATGTGCAGAGTTATGTGCTCTCGGACCGGCTTGCTTACGCGTTTCTATGGGATATATTTCTGTACTCCATATTCCAGCCATGGTTGATCGGGGACAATCTTCAGAACGTGAAGGCAGATGCTACTGAGTTTGTGAATGCGGTGAGGTTCGTCCCCGTTGTAGGTCTAGTTGCCTACCTTCTTTGCTTAGAAGAAGAGGATTAGCTGTTAACTGTGTTTTTGTAATTTTTGTGATCATTTGGATTGTTGTTCAGTATGCAGTTGAGTGAATTCTGTTTTTGGTGGCAGTAAGTTTTAGCAATAATTTTTGTGTCAGGGATGCGTGTATGAACAAGAATTCATTCATCATCACATTTGCAACTGAAATCAACAATCTTCTAAACGAACAACCGGGATGGACACACAGTATTTCCTTGGGCTGCTAATCTCTCTAGGAAACAAGCCCATCAGAAAACAACTAATAAGTTTCTCTAAGACGTAATTCTAATTGCCTGACGAATGCTACCCACCGCTGTAGGATGTGGTCCAATTCTTCAGAAAGCTAGGACTGACACCAATGCCACAAAACCAACTGCGACAGAAAAGCCATCAGCTATCATCTTGGACCCCCTGCTGTATCGCGGCATCTGGCTGCTCACCGACGGTGACGGTATCATACGTGGTGTCGTCGGCGTTGGCGTCGCCGGCGTGGGCGTCGCTGGAGCAGTGGAGTTGGCGCTTGGGCGTGGAGTTGTAGAGTTGTATTGATCAACTGGACAGCTTCTATTGATCACATGGCGTGTACATATATAGATTATAATCGTGGCCTTTGGCCAAGCCTGTACATGCGAGAGCGGGCGAGCGCACAGAGCGGGAGTGTGGGCGCCGTGGAGACCGGGCTCGCATGGACGCGGTGATCCAGTTGTGGGCGTGGCGAGTGCGCACTGGGCGTTGTGATCCGAACGACCCGGTCTGGCTTTTGCCGTTGCAGAGCTGCTTCCACTTACACCCCCCGCAGTCTCGACGTCGGGCGCGGTGACGGAGAGGCTGTCTTTGAAGTCGAAGAACAGCGCTGAAGGCAGCCCTTTGGTGAACACATCAGCGAGTTGCCGTGCACTGGGAACGTGCGTGACGCGAAGCTCTCCAATGGCCACTTTTTCCCCGGACGAAGTGGATGCCTAGCTCAATGTGCTTGGTTCGCCGGTGGTGGACAGGGTTCCTGGACATGTAAACTGAAGATATGTTGTCGCAGAAAGCCACAGTCGCTGAGGGAACCTTGCAGAGGAGCTCGCCAAGAAGATGTCGGAGCCAAGAGCACTCGGAGACGGCGTTGGCGATGGCGCGGTACTCAGCTTCGGCGCTCGACCTTGACACCGTGGTTTGTCGCTTGGATGACCACGAGATGAGTGAATTGCCGAGGAAGACGCAAAACCCTAAAGTCGAACGTCGCGTGTCTGGACAACCGGCCCAGTCGGCGTCGCTGTAGGCGGTGATCGTCGGTGAAGGAGCGGCGCGCAGTTGGATGCCGAGGCTCGTCGTCCCTTTGACATACCGGAGGATGCGTTTCATCATCGTCTGGTGCACGTCCCTCGGCGCGTGCATGTGTAAGCACACCTGCTGCACAACGTACACAATGTCTGGACGTGTGATCGTCAGATATTGCAGTGCGCCAGCGATGCTCCGGTAAGTGGTGGCGTCGTCGATGAGCTTGCCGTTAGCAGCAGATGCTTTCGGCTTGGTGTCCGCAGGCGTGGCGACGGGTTTGTAGTTGGCCATGCTGGCGCGCTCCAAGAGATCCTCGGCATACGCCGACTGGGAGAGGAAGAAGCCATCTTTGGTACGTCGAACGTTGATGCCGAGGAAATGTCGAATTGGCCCCATGTCCTTCACGGCAAATGCGTTGTGTAGCCGAGCAATGACATGGTGAAGGAGCGACGCCGATGATGCCGACAGGATCATGTCGTCGACATATAGGAGCAGGTACGCCGTGGCCCCGTTGCGGTGGTAGACGAAGAGGGAGGAGTCTACCTTCGACTGGATGAAGCCCAAGCTTGTGATATGCCAGACGAAGCGTTCGAACCATGCCCGTGGTGCTTGGCGAAGACCATAGAGGGACCGCGACAAGAGGCATACATCGTTCGGGCGCTGAGGATCGGTGAACCCGGTGGGTTGCTGGCTGTACACCCATTCGTGAAGGTTGCCGTGGAGGAAGGCGTTGGAGACGTCGAGTTGATGAGCCGGCCAGTTGTATGTCACCACGAGCGTGAGAACGGTGCAGATCGTGGTCGGCTTGACTACCGGTGAGAATGTCTCGCCGAAATCGACGCAGGGGCGTTGATTGAACCCACGAACAACCCATCGAGCCTTGTAGCGCTCTAGGGTTCCATCGGGATTCATCTTGTGTTTGAACACACATTTGCCGGTGATGACGCGAGCGTCGGGTGGTCGTAGCACGAGAGTCCAGGTCTTGTTAGCCTACAACGCATCAAATTCGCTTTTCATGGCCCCATACTAGTTGGGGTCCTTGACTAAGCCGCGGACGCTCCGGGGAACCGGGGAGATAGTCGCTGAGGCCGCCATGGCGTAGTTCGGGTTGGGTTTGTGGATCCCAGCCCGAGCACGAGTGATCATCGGGTGAGCAGGATGTACGTCGTCATGTGCTGGCGGAGCTGCAGTGCCGACCGTGGGCGCTGCAGCCGATGGAGTCACGGACGGTGAAGCAGTGGGCGACATCGCTGTAGATGACGGCGCATTGGGTGATCCAGGCGCGGGCGCTGGTGTCGATGTGTGTCGTGGCATTGAAAATGATGCCTCGTCTGCACCATTTGGCATCGGTGCATGGGCGTGTCGCGCTGTGCGCGTGCCTCGAATGTTGTGGAAGATCGATGTCGATGCGAGGCGGCGACGCCGGCGGATTCAGGTGACGGCGCGCGGCAGTCGTGGCGTGGCCCGTCTGCATGAGCTACGGATCATCCGCCACTGGTGACGATGCGGCAGCGGTGGTCGTGGAGTCGCGGAAGGGGTAGGTGGACTCATCGAAGACCACATGGCACGACGTGATGACCCAACCCATCGCTAGCTCGTAGCAACGATAGACGCGGTGGTCAGTCGGGTACCCAATGAAGACACAGGTGGTGGATTGCACGGCAAGCTTGTGAGGCAACATGGCGATCATGTTGGGGAAGCAGAGGCATCCGAAAAACGCGTAGCTCGTCGTACGAGGGCGCCACGCCGAAGAGCATGGCGTACGGTGTCGCGGCGCCCGTGACGCGGTATGGACGACGGTCGATCAGGTAGGTCGCCGTGGCCAGCGCTTGGGCCCAGATCGCTAGTGGTGCTGCACTGTGAATTAACATAGTGCGAATACAATCGTTAACAGTTCGTAGAATTCTCTCGACCTTCCCGTTCTGCTGTGAAGTATAGGGGAAGGATAGACGCAGTTGCGTGCCGAGAGAGGAGAGGAGCAGATGCATGGCGGTAGAGTCATACTCCTGGCCATTGTCTGTCTGGAAGGCGACGATGGGCTGACGGAATTGAGTGTGGACAAAGGAAATAAAGGAACGAAGAGTGGGAAGAACATCAGATTTATTTCGAAGTGGAATTGTCCATAAGTAATGACTATAATCATCAAGAAAAATGACATAGTACTTATAACTAGAATGACTAAGAACTAGAGACATCCATACGTCTGAATGAACTAGTTGAAAAGGAAAAAATGTATGTGATGCAGATTTAGCGAAGGGAAGACGAACATGTTTCCCCAGCCTGCAAGAAGAACATGAATGAGCATCAGATTTATTACATTGAAAAGGAAAAGTATGTAAAATTTGAGAAGTGATGGGGGTGTCCGGGGTGTCCTAGCCACCAATGCCACAGAGATGTTGCCGATGAAGCAGTGAGGGCTTGGTGGTGTGGAAGGCGGAGGGGGCAGAGGTCGCTGCTGCTTTCACATCGGAGCATCTCCGCCCTGGTAGGAAGATCCTTCATAGAGAAACCAGAGGGGTCAAACTCGACAGAAACATTGTTGTCACGAGTTAAGCAGCGAACACTGTTCAAATTCTTAATGAGGTTAGGGGAACTAAGATCATTTAATCGGAGTTGGGAGGTGGCAGTAGGAATGAATGTTTGTGCTTGATGTGTGACCAGCATACGAGCACCATTGCCTACTGTTATAGTATAAGATAATGATCGGAGGGAGGAGGGAGAGAAGTTACCAGGAGATGACGACATGTGCGATGACGCACCAATATCGAAATACCACTCAGACGTGCTCGGTGGGTGGTGCGGGACGCCGGCGGACTGGAGTGTGGCATAGAGGGCGCTGGTGTCGAAGGGGCCGCCAGGCGGAGGTGCGGACAGGTGCGTGGCCGCCATGGCCTGCTGCGGCTGGAACAACGGACAGGGTCCTAGAACGCCGGTCTAGGGGAGCGGAAAGGCTTGGGACAGGTTTGCACCATGCCTTGCTAGGGATTGTAGCCCGCGGCCCATGGCGCGGACTGCGCGGTGGAGTTGTTGGATCGTGGCGCGCCACCGTTGCCGCGACCTCGGCCACGGCGCCGATCTTGGCGGTTGTTGGAATGGTTGTTGCCGCCGTTGTTGGATTGGGGCGCGGTGGAGGAAGAAGACCCGTTGAAAGGTCCTAATATGGCTAGAGGGGGGGGTGAATAGCCTATTTAAAAATCTACAAATCAACTAGAGCAATTTGATTAGTATGACAAATAGCGTAATGCAAACTTGCTCTAACTCTACAAGGGTTGCAAGCCACCTATCCAACAATTCTAGTTACAATGATTACTTAGGCACACAAACTTGCTTTGTAACTACTCACTAAGAGCTCTCAATCTTGCTACTCTAAAGAGTTCAAAGAGATGAATGTAAATAATAAAGCAAGCTCTCAATTCTAATTATACTAAAGAGCTTGTATCAACTAGTTTGCAAGAATGTAAATAAGTGAGTAGGGTGATTATACCGCCGTGTAGGGGATGAACCAATCACAAGATGAATATATAGCCAATCACCGGGAGAATGCCCAAGACAAGAGACAATCGATTTTCTCCCGAGGTTCACGTGCTTGCCAACACGCTACGTCCCCGTTGTGTCGACCAACACTTGGTGGTTCGGCGGCTAAGAGGTGTTTCATAAACCTCGTCCACATGATAGGACACCGCAAGAACCGACCCACAAGTGAGGTAACTCAATGACACGAGCAATTTACGAGAGTTACCTTTCGATACTCCGCCGGGGAAGGTACAACTCCCCTTACAATCACCGAAGATGGCCACGAACAATC